TTAGAGAATAAATTTTTTTAGATGAAAAACTAAAAGAGTAAAAGAGGAAGAAAAGTGAAGGAATCACAGAGAAGAATTTATGAGGATGGGAATGAAATAAAATGAAAAAAAGTGCTTGAGTTGAAAAAGACCATGGAAGAAGACATGGTGCGCTTGCTAAGTGGTCCCAACTCAAATCTATCTGCACCTTTTCCTGACTCAGCAAACCTCTAGCTTCCGTAACCCGGTAATAAACTTCCGTGCTGCTCGTTCCAATCTGTCGACCGGTCTAGTGTACATCCGGGTGATGTATATACTTTCAACGATGGCAACGTCAAAAGTTTAGATCCTTGTCTAACAAAATTGACTTTCAGCTTATCGCTGTCAATTACCTTATACTTCGCGTGGGTCTTTGAAGTTAAGCAAATTTCCGTGACTAAAAACATGACCGAAAAACTATTAAAGTGTTTATATTTGTATGAAAAAAAAAAAGGCACTGAGCAAAAATAAAAGTGATAATCTATTTCATTTATGATGAAAAGAGCAGTTGGAATAAAAAAAAAAATATAGACATCATATAAATTCCAATGAAATAATATAATGACTCGTCTGTCAAAATTATTTTCTTCACTATTAATAAATAGTTTATTATATAAAAAGCAAAATGGACTATTTTTACAGTTATATCATTCAATGAAAATAAAATAAATGGCTTTTACACTAAAAGTTTTAATAATAGAGGCTTTCATAATAATATTTCTAAAAATACAATTTTGATAATAAAATTAAGGTAATCAAACTATTGTCAATATTGTATGACCTCTTTAAATGATTAATGTGAATTTTGTTTTACTGCCTAGATAAAGTCAAATTCCAATAATAATTACTTATGATACAAATGATGTATCTAGTCTAGATGAAAAATAAAAATAACAATAGGTTCATCAAGAGGGGCGAGGTGGGGTAGAGTGAGGTGAAAAACTGGAGAGAAGAGATAAAAGGTAATAGAGAGAAGGATAAATGAAGAGGGATGGTGTGGATCATGTTCCAAACAGTTTGATAGGTGTCAGTGAAAGCTATAGACAAGTAGATGACGGAAGTCAAGCGAACAAAACATGGTCCAGTGATGATGTCCACCTTAATATCCATCAACGCAATGGGAGATAACACATTGGTAGCAGATAGAAGCACCTCATTTTCTTCCTCTCGTCTACGTCTCTCAGAACAATCGGTCAGCCCATCCCTTGTCAAGCACTCAGAGCGATTATCGCCTCCCATTTCTGTCTCTAACCGGACTCTCCTCCGACTGTGTCGTCTTTGTCCGACGCGACTATCGACTACGTCACTCGCTATAAATGGATACCCTTCATTAATTGAAAGACATCTTTAGAAAGAAACTGATTACTCCACCACTGGCGATACGATTTATTCTCTTTTGAGATTCAGTTAATTGCATTGTTTGCTATTTATCTTTCACGCTGTTTTGTTCGTTTATCGGTATTGTTTCTATTTCACTGAATCACGAACAGTAATTCTGAAAGATTCACGTAAATTGCTACACACCAATGACGAAAGAATGTTTTTTCCCAAACAATTGAGCTTAATCTGAAAACACGAAAAGGTCGGAACTTTTGCTGACTACGTGAGCTTTGACATGCACATTTTGTGTATAGGATCTGATCCAACTGCAAAAGTGGATGATAATGATGACAATGGTTTCGAGTTTGAATGTATTCTCTTCCAGAGATTCTATCAATATAAATGGTATATACAGTTTATTGAGATAAATTATATTTTTAAGCGAAAATTTATCGTATATAAGTAAAATAAATTTAGTAACAAGTTCGATTAAAGCCGAATAGCCAGCTTGTACGAACACGAGGCAATTATCGTAAGTGGCGTAAATCCAAGGTGCTTAAGGACTCTCAAGCGTGAATAAATCGTCTGTGTAACTATCAAGTTCACTGGGATAATGGGTGGCTAAGGGAAGCCTAGTTTGGTTCGAGGATCAGCAAGTATCCTTGATAGAGTTATATAGATATATATATGCACGAGAAATTCAAGAAATAAAATTGAACAAAAAATAGTTGAAAAAGTACCAAGTTTCTGTACTACTTTTTCCAATGGTTTTTCGTTTTTTTCTTTTTTGTCCTCGACTGGTCTCTCGCACTGACACAATTCTCATCTGAAGTGACACAATTTTGTTTTTGGAATTTTAACGTTCGTTCTAGATTTTTTTTTTTCTGTTTGTTTATCAGAAAACTGAAAATACCATCGATGAATCTTTCAACGTAACAATAACAATTCGTTGATAAAAAAAAAAATAGTGTTGATTGAAAAGGGTTTTTAAAAAAAAAAAAATTTTTTTCTGATTAAATTAGAATATCATTTTTTTTTTTCAAAGCAATTATTGCAAAGTTGAAAACGATAAGTTTAAATTCCTGATAAAAAGGTTGAATGCGATTTCTCTCCACAACGATTCCCGAACTCTCAACTATTTCTTGAAGCTTTTCTTGAATCGGCCATTATACACCTTTTTATCGGTAAGACCTTTCTCGCGTTCAGTTAGAAGCAGTTAACACGCTCCAAAAAGTAAAGTCGAACGTAATCTATTAAATAGATAACGCCATGCTTCTAACGCTCAAGAAGAAAACCTCTATATATCTTTTCCGCGGATTCGCTTGAGCACGAACTTACTCAGTCTTCAGTATTCCTTTGGGAGAAAGGGTGAGTGAGTGCAAAAGGAATGAGCCAAGAGTGTTAAAGAAGGAATAACCGTTGAAAAGAAACTATAAAACGACTATTTCAATGACCGAAAAATGGGGATAAATAATAGTTGAAGTCAGATACGTGTGTTTGAAGTATATATATATATATATATACTGCACGTGCATGTACGTGAAGAAGTTAAAAAAAGTATGTTACAGAAAATCATGTTGAAAGAATTCATTTTCTTTGCACTATCTTATCGTATAAGTTCTACGAAGTATTAAATGATGAATCATTAAAATTGTCATTAAATCGTAAAAGTAACAAATTTTATCTTGAAAAGAATGATGATTCCTTGAAAATTAAAAGAAAGAAAGATCAAGACAACAACAATATTTTTTATTGTGAGCAGGTTGATTTAGGGAAGTATAGAAGGGTTATAAAAAGATAACAAAAATATATATCTAGAAGAAAGAGTTTTAAGAATGATGGAAAAATAAAAGGAAAGAGTTGGACTTGTCAGGATACCAACTCTTATTCTAGCTTATTCCTGAGTTATTTTTCACTTGGCGTTGAAAAATTGCTGCCACTCCAAAAATCGGAAATCGATTACGCCCACTGTCGAACTGGCACAAGATAACGTGGCTTGTGGATGGTTATAAGAGTGAGTAAGATAGAAAACTGAACTTCAGAAAGAAGAATCCGCTGGCGCGATAAAAAGATCGATTCGTCTGTCGTTTATGCTCAAGATCGCTTGAGATATTCTCCAGCTTTTGGATTTTCTTTTATCGCGAAGGATTTTTTTTTTCATTTTTTTCCCCTTATTTTCTTTTTTATCTTGTAAATCACTTTAAATGTGCTAACGATCAGATCACACTTCAATAACACTGAATCGTCGATAAATGCTTTGCAAATGTAAAATATAATTCTCAACATTTATTTTAAATTAAATATCATTATTACATTATTCGGTACAAAGTTGAATCTTTAGTGATTATTTACTTTGTTTTCTTTGTATGTTTATTCTACAAAGTAATTTAATTTTATAATTTAAAACTCAAACTGTGTATACATAGAAAATTGTATTGACATACATTTATTAAAGAAAAATGATGAGAAAGAAAAATAAAAGTGTTTCTGCAACGCGTATCTATACACCCAACGGCGTAAATTCTGATGATCTCGACAACTTCAGAGAAAAGTTGGCTACTGACACGCGAGAATCAAATTAGTAACGTTTTACTTGTTATAAACAAAGAAGTAAAGATAAAAATGTATTTTAAAAAACAGAAAAAAATATTATTCAAACAGAACACGTACTCTCTGTCGATTAATTTCTCTTTGATAAAATACCGACTCAAAAGAATGTTTTTTTTCTTGCCTTTAAACTTATTTCTTCTAAACTGATAAATAATTCACTAATAATATTTATTGATCAATTTAATTTGTTATCTTTTGATAATTAGCTGTTAAAAGCGCTGTTAAATTTACGTTGAAATAAATAGAAACAATATGAGAGGAAGTAATATCTGATTGCTGTAATGAGACTTAATATTGTACCTAACACAAATCTCAGAGAACTTGAACCTGATAAAGCAAGGAAAATGTCATAAAGATCTAGAAGGGTGGTGTTGAAGAGGGAATAAGATTCAAAGCGAGAGCAAACACCAGTCATGTCACAGATTTGACGCAGCGACGTATATAATTATTGCGAGGAAATATATATATATATATATATACAATATAAATATATACACAGCTATATATATATATATATGTATATATATATAATGAAGAAATAAAAGCCTTTATTTCGATACCTTTCTCTCTTCCACTTTCTATCTCTACACACCACCACACCTTTTGATTTGCTTTGGATGACTATCCATCTTATTCTACTTTACACTCTCTTCGTATATTTTCATCTTCGATCGCAATTCGATCCCCATGGATTCACTTGAGCAGCTTGCTCGTTAATGTTCTTGATTTTTTACTCTTTTTTTTTTTTTTAAATTTATGTCTTCGAGTGCATTCCTTTAAAGATGAATTTATAAAAAGGATGAAATTTATTTTTCTCTAGTATCGTAAGTCATTGACGTGAAAAAAATCCGACATATTTTAAATATTACTTCAAAAATCATTTTTGAGTAGAAAAAGAAAATAAAATGATACATTTTATCGAAAGGAGTTTTTATCGATAAAAGTGTGATTTTGTTTAAATGTAAATGGGAAGTAATGTAACTGTTTTTTTGTGAAATAATCCAAGACATAAGATTTTCTCGGGCGATGGAAAATAAAACGAGTTGACATACCTCCATCTCTCGCGGCGAGGATACAATCGCTGATGAAGAGCCAGGCAAGGATAAATCCGCCAAGAAGGCCTCTCCGCCGACCCTTGCCGCACTCCATGGTGAGGCCTCTAGCTTCGACTACGCCTAAAAATCAGAAAAAAAAAGTAATTCATTATTGATATTGAAATAAAAATGTATTTAATCCTAGTGTTAAACTTAGTTAATGTAATTATAATTATCGCGGAAACAGGTAGCAATTCCAGCGAGAAAGACAATGATAATTGAATGTTAAGTTGTAGTAGGAATAGATTGTGAGGAAATGGCGTGTACGTACAGCTGAGGTAGCTGTTTCTGTGTAGTATAACTATGTGCTGCACTCGCTAAAGCTCAACGCATTACGCATAATTAATCCAACGATAGTATCAGAAACCGCAGGATCGTCGATAGGATACGTTGACTATTTAGTCCTTACTCTCTTACTCACACATGGACATGTTTATATACATTCTTTCCTTTCTTTTCCTGATGCTGTCTCACTTTTCAGCGACGCTCGCACGGATGAGAAATGAAAAATCGTGCGAATGGATGCAGCCCCGAGGCACATTCTTCTATCATCAAAGCTTCTTTCGCTTCCTTCTGAGGAGAAAGAGCTAGAAAGAAAGAGGATGAGGTGATGGTGAAGCCTTGCATGGTCTCAAGTTGCGCGAGGGCGCATCGATATGTATACTTATACGCGCTCGATCCATATCATGCTCACGCAAGTCTATGTATATACACACTCGTATTAGACACATACACACGTGAAAAAGACAAACGTTCCGACTCAATGTGCTGCTTGTTGAGATTCTCGAGAACTCGACTCTTTACTTGCTAGGCATAGCACCCATTATAAGATATACGAAGAATAAGCATGGATATACGTGCTCGTAATGAGTCACTGCATCTCTCTGTGTATATGAAATAGGCATGTCATTATATTCAGAAATATATCTCGTGGCTATAACATTGTCGCTTTTCACTTTGAGGTAAATTATTGTATACCAACATGCCAAGTTAATAATGGCTTTTGTTATCAGACAGATAAAATCAGTGAAGAAATTAAATAACCAATGACCACAGAGAGTATTAATCATCCTAATCTCAAGACTTTATCCTTCTTTTTTTAGACTCATCTAATTGCTTGATACGATTATTGATAATCTCGGAATTTCAGTATCTTTTTTTGGGGTTTAAGTCATTCTCATCAGCCTTCAATTTTCTTCAATGTAATTAGGGAGAATAATAATGATTGACAAATTCAATTACAATTAGTGATTATGTTGAACACATTAGAGCTCAAGAATGCAGCCAATTATCATGGTATAAAGCTATAAAGAAAAAAAAAAGGAAAAATAAGAGAGGGAGAAATGGTATGAGTGTGTGTTCTTGATGAAACTAGTCTCGTGGATAGAACCAATTTGAAACGGGTAATGGTGCTATTATAACGCTGCGTCGGAACTTCATTTGTCGAACAAAAGACTACGAGAATTAACGCTTATATGTTAGAGATGTGTGTGTTCTTGTTTTCTATAGTTCTACATCATTTACATACTGTCTCTACTCTTCTTCTTATTCTTCTTCACAATTAGTGATATTCGTAAATTATATGAATGCCACATTATCTCACGATAAATTTATCTAATTTTATACCACGCTAATCTACATTTATTTTAAAAAAAAAATTGTTTCCAAGTATTTTTAATTCATTTATTAAATAAAAAAAAAAATATTTCAAAAGCTTGTTTTTATTGTTATAAAAGCCATCAGAAAATGTTACATATCAAAATTTTTTTTTTGTTTGTTTTATTGAAAAGTTTTTCTCCAAACATGAACAACAAACTGGTTTTTCTAAAAGTTCTTCACTAACGACTATATTACGAGTAGTGGCGATTAAAAGTAAGCAAAAATTTCTCTTTGTATTATAAATTTTTCTCGTCAAGTGTGTTATTTATACAACTCTCTATATAGTAGATAGAGTAATAAAGCTGAAGGTTTGCGTAACATTAAACTTTAAATTATCTCACGATAAATATGTCAACGGATTTAACTGCTGAACTCGACATATTACCCATATTTTACTGAATTTAATTGCAACATACATACGAATGGATTAAAATGAAAAAAAAAAAAGCTTCTGTATAATTATCATTTGAACTTTTTTATAAAAGACGACTTCTTAACCCATATCCTGTTCTCGTTATAACATATATAATTTTAAAAAATGAACAACTTCATTAGGCTGTCTACTGGTGACTCCTCTTTAACATTGTTGCTTTTATAAAAATAAAGTTTTGCGTGACAGAAATTGGTGACATCGGAAACGCGGTGTACACTGTATGCATTCCGTTATGTGACACAGGCTTCCGCGGCTTCTACACTCAGTTGCTTTGAGGTCACGCGAGTGTCTCACGTCGTGCATCAGATATTCATGTCCAAATCTGAATAAATTCAAGGCTATTCATCAAAATCACATCGTGCTATCACACCTCTTGAATTAGTTATGAAAAAATACATCATTCAAGGACACTCACATCTTTTCAAAGAAATATTTAATTAGACATCTTTTTATTCTAGTTTTTTACACACACTTGCTTCCTAACTAAAAACTTGAATAATTTTATGAAATTATTTTAATTTCGATAGTAATTTATATGAATTATTACTAGGCATTTAAAAATATATCTAATAATTTTAGTGATAGCAAGACAAAATTTATTTTACAAATTGGAGTATAAATAAGTCAATAAATATACTTTAGGTACATGTCTCGAAAATATCCCTCAGCCCTATTTGCGAATTTAGCGATTTATTAAATTTACTTAAATTTAAGGCCGTATGAGGGACGGCGGAGTTCTTGTTGGACTACGATGAGTATGGGTACGTCTAGGAAAATAATAATTAAAAATATTGCGATAGCTCAAGTGGTAAAGCATCTAACGCGGAAACTTGGGGGATCCAGGTTCGAGTCCTGGTTGCATTACTTTTTTCCGAAAAACGTGCCTATACAAAACTGTGTAGATGGGATGGGGGGAGGGATTCTACACAATTACCATATTATTACTAGACATTGAAAAATATATCGAATAATTTTAGTGATAGCAAGACAAAATTTATTTTACAAATTGGAGTATAAATAATTCGATAAATATACTTTATTTATACTCATTCTAGTCTTTCATGGTTTATTGAAAAATCTAAAAAGTTAAAAGTGCTTTTATTGTGTTGTTCTAGAAACTTTTTATCTCATTCAACTTTAGCTTGTTATCGATTGACTTTAAGATGTTTTGGTCGACATGCTAATCTATGAAACTTTATAAAAATTTATTTTATTATGAAAACTTTTAGACTATGATTATTAATTACTAGACTATTATTAATTAACAAAACTTTAGGATAATATGTATGATGAAAATTAGAGAAACAAGAGCACACCATCTCCATTCAGCCAAGAAAAGTACTCTTCTTCATGAAAGCAACTTCTCACCCTCATACATCTCCTATACATCCAACTCGGCATCGATGCTAACTTTCGAGGAGGTTGGGCTAAAGTTTACACGACACGAACGGCAGGTGTTATTTGCTCTAGCAAGTTAGATAGAACTCGTCGAAGCCCTCCTTCAACCCTTTCTCCTTGAATCCCCTTTATATCCTCATTCCTCGTCAACAACGACGAGGGTGCACCGATCCTCCTTCACTTACACACGCGATCGAAGACTTTAACAACTTACGGATATTTAGTTTTGGATTATCGACAAACCCATTTGTTAAAATTGAAAATCTTTACGACTTACTGAATGAGTTCTTGGTAAAAAAAAAAAAAAATATACATGAGTTATTATTATTTCATTTTACATTAAGGAAATGGAATTGGAAATTCTAAATAAAAATCACAAAACTAATATTCAATTCAATCTATTTATAAGTCAACTTTTTATACTATAGACAACTTTTAGTTGACTCTAAATGACAATCAATTGTGTTCAGCATACTTTTAATGAGCAGTCAGCAACAGAAGGTTTTATATAAATATTTTGTTATGATGAGTTGAAAAAAAAAAAAAAAGAAAATCAATGAAGAGTAATTAAATACCAGTGAGATATTTGAAAAAATTCATTTTTAATTTTTATGAGAGCAAGTCAGTGGATAAATGTAGTCTAGAGGGTGAATAAATCAAAAAAATTGGAGCAAGAATAAATTTAGAATCATGTGAACTCATTTTCATTAGTCTGAAGACAAACGTTTTTAATTAGAAGGAAAAAAATTAATTTAAAAAAATTCATTTCAAAATTCCATAATTTTTCATAAATTTCACTCAAATATTTTGTCATCTTTCATTCATCAGATGAAGTTTAAAGTCGTTGACCCCTTTTTTTTCACTATCATCGACATTTTTAGTATAAAATTAATTAAAATGAGTATCTTTGACTGTCCTCAGAATACCAATTATCTTGGATTTACCTTATAAGATGATAATTGAGAAAAAAGGAAAAAATACCTCAGTAGATGACACTTGAATAAAAATTAGGTTACATCCAAGATTCACACATCAAACTTGCGCTCATAAATATTTTCCTTCCTAGTTTATTGATATCATATTTTCTGATATATAGTAGACATAAAATGTTTTTTATATTTAAATAAATGACGTTATGTAAATATAATTTTCGTTCTTGCATCTGTTTGCGCACCCTCGAGTATCAGAGTTAGAAAAACAAGGAAAAAATATCGAGAACGCAGAGGAACTTTGCATGAAATATTATGCCATAGACGAGTTTGGTGATATTTTTTTTTGCGAACAAATATTGCATACAGTGATAATAATGAATGTAAAAAAATGTAGCCCGTCTTTTCTGACATTAATCCTATATATTAGCCAACTTGAATTATTTGAAAGGCGATACCTATACGAGTTAAGGTTTCTGAGAAAGTGTGACTGGGCATTGCTTACACGCATACCTAAACCATTAATTACGACTCATTAGGAAAGCAACCGCCATCTGTCCCGGACGGACCGTGAATCACTCTTAATCATTGCATCTAGAAGCCGAGCACGGTAGCTGTCTACCCGTGTCTCACTCCCTTCACTTGTTCTCTTTCGCGCTTAC